AAAATTACAAACTCAAGAATTTCAATACAAATCTTATAAATATACCGAATATATGAATGCTTGGCATAAAATATTTGCTTATCAAAATCTCAATAATTCTCATACTTGGTATGTACAGTTTAAAATGCCTATACTTGAAAGATTTCCAAGTTGGTTTAGATATTGATTTTTAATATAGGGTTCTGGAACCCAAATATTACCCGATGCTTTAAAAAATGCTCAGGCAAAATTCGTAGAATATAATAGAATAAATGATGATATAGATTACCATCTATATTTCATGGCAATATATCAGATACCCTGGATTCTGAAATGGGAATATGGGATTTTCGAGAATACTAGCAATAATTTTGAATATATTCCTCGATTGAGAAAAAGAATATTTATCAAATGGTGGGATATATTTAGTATGGACCCGAACTCGATCAAACCCAAAAGAATTCCTCCTCCTCCCACATAATATCAGAATAATAATACCAATGAGTTCGACCCAAATAAGTTTGTAGAATATATCAGAAGAATGCGCAAGCAAAATTCAAGAGCTACCAAAGAGGAACTCGAGAATCAGCTTTTGAAAATAATCGAAGAAGAAGCTTCTGATGCAACGTCTCTGTCCGAACCCGAACAAATGGAAGATGAGTATAGCTAGAGCCCCGAATAACCAGAGGCCCGAATAACCAGCGACAGTTGTCAAAAATAATGTACAAAGACTACCAAAGATGCTCCTGTCAAATCACAGTGGATGCTTCCGTACAAAAGTAACCGGCAGAAAACACTGTTAACGATGCCACCGTACCTAATAGCCGACACAACCTACTGTAGAAGATGCCTTTACTTTTCTTTAGTCTTGTCCAACTTTAAATATTCTCTGTCTTTACTTTTTTTTTTAGTCTTGTCCTACTTTAAAGATTCTCTTTCTTTATCTTAAGTCTTGTCCAGCTGTAAAGATGCTCTTTACGTCCTCTCTGTCTTGTCCAGCTGTAAAGATTCTCTTTACTTCCTGTCTCTGTTTTCTTTCTATCCAAAACAAATCTGCTTTGTGTCATGTCTCTTTTTGAAGACACCTCACCCCCTGCCAACTCAGCACTCTTCTTCCTCTATATAAACCACTTGAACCTCTCAATTGAGATAGATCGGGAAGAACTCTCTTTTCTTTAAAGCTTCGTCGCATTCCTCTCCGAAGATTCAACTACCTTCTCTTATCCTACCTGATCTCCTCTATCCTGCCTGATATAGTCAAACTCTCTTAGGTAAGCTATTTTCAAGTAAAATCTTTCCATTTTCTTTTATTCATAGTTGGTAAAGATGTGTGATTGTAATTTCCATAAGTTACTTTCGTTTTGCCCGGACGAATGGAAACATTTTGTAAGTTTCTGCATCTGTAATTTGTGAGTATTGCTGTATATGTACTCTTTCTGAATCAGTTTGAATAAAACTTGTCTATAGGCAAAAATGAATAGTGATTTCACCTACCCTCATCACTCTCCGAAGTTCATCGTACGGTCACGATTGTCTGGTAGTGTTTCATTTTTCATTTTTTTTCTACAAATCGGAATGACCTGAAATTTGGAGCGTGTGTTCATCAAAAATAAGCGAATCTAAGAAAAATATCAAAAAAAAATATTTTACGTGACAAAACTTAACCAAACTACCCCCAAAACTTTTCGGGAGTATTTTGGTCTTTTTTTTGTAAATTATTTGTTTTATATTTTTATTAGGTGCGCCTCACTAATATGTACACACGCTTCAAATTTCAGATTATTCCTATTTGTAGAAAAAAAATGAAAAATAAAACACTACCGGACAACTATGACCGTGCGATGAACTTTGGATGGTGATGAGGGTAGGCAAAATCACTGTTCAATTTCCCTTATAGCCGTTGGGAAGATTTTTCCTATGTATATATATATAGATATATACAAAAAAGTTTGTGTAGAGTCGAGGCTCTAAACAATCAAATTAGAGCTCACCTCAAATATTTCACTAGATGAGGTTGTTTTGATGTCCAAATATCCTCAAATTGATCATCTCAACATCAAGATGCATGGACACGAGAAAAAAATGATTTTAAAGTTTTGGAAATAGTGCATATTGTAACACATTTTCGAACCATCAATTTTCAAGATTTTCAATTTTTCATAGATCTGCTCGATCTATACTATCTTTTAAGCTTTAAATTTATAATTAAAGATAAAAAACTATTTTAAGGTGTGTTTTACTTTGATTGTTTAGAGTCTCAACTCTATACAAACCACACCCATATATATATATATATATATATATATATAGTAGTAGA